CACACACACCTGGCTTTAAGAACCACACACACCTGGCTTTAAGAACCACACACACCTGGCTTTAAGAGCCACACACACACCTGGCTTTAAGAACCTCACACACCTGGCTTTAAGAGCCACACACACACCTGGCTTTAAGAGCTGCACCTCATCCTGAGAGGCTGCTCACTTCCTGTGTCCCCACTTCCTATGTCCCCACTTCCTGTGTCCCCACTTCCTGTGTCCTCACTTCCTGTGTCCCCACTTCCTGTGTCCTCTCACTTCCTGTGTCCTCTCACTTCCTGTCTTCTCTCACTTCCTGTCTTCTCTCACTTCCTGCCTTCTCTCACTTCCTGCCTTCTCTCACTTCTTGTGTCATCTCACTTCCTGTCTTATCTCACTTCCTGTCGCCTCACTTCCTGTCGCCTCACTTCCTGTCTCCTCTCACTTCCTGTCTCACTTCCTGTGTCCTCAGTGTCCTTCCTGGGCGTGATGTTCAGCAGAGTTCTGCTCAACAAGAACCGGGGCGAGGAGGTCATGGGGGAGTGTCCTCTGCCGGCCGTCAAGCTGTCCCTGGACTGGATCAAACTGAGACCCAGCATCTTCCAGGAGCCCGCTGTGGAGGACAGGAAGTAGTAAGTCCAACTTCCTGTTTGGTTGACTGCTAGCTGGACGTGTGATGGCTGAACTTCCTGTTTGTGTTGGTCAGTATCTGGGCGTGGCTGGTGTCCATCCTCAACAGCTTCCAGCCCAAAGAGGACGACGTGTCCTGCTCAGGTAGGACTCTGACTTCCTGTCCTTTCACAATAAAAGCTTCTTCAGTTTGTTAATGAGTTTGTCTCTGCAGTGACGCCGCTGCCAGAGGAGTTCGAGCTGCAGGGCTTCCTGGCTCTGAGACCGGCTCTGAGGTACTGACCCGGTTCTGTTCCCTGTCAGGACCTGGTTCTGGTTCTGTTCTGGTTCTTGTCACCTCTGTGTGTCTTTCAGGTGTCTGGACTTCACTAAAGGCCATCAGGGGATCCTGGTGGACCGGGACGGGTTGCTGGTTCCAGCCCGGCACCAGAGGCTCGTGGGTCTGGGGAAGTGGGTTTCAGACCAGCAGCCGGGGTCAGTTTGGCTCCGCCCACTGTGTGACCTTCAGATCTTTAGAATCAGGGTCTTAAAGTCCTGTCTGGACCCGTCTCTGCAGGCTGATCCGGTACCGGGTCGAGGAGGACGGCCTCCTGGTCTTCATCACGGACATCCCAGAGGAGGCCATCGAGGAGGCGCAGGACAAGGAGGCGCCGGTCCTGCAGGAGTCCTCCAATGGGGAGCAGAGCCAGAACGAGGGCGGGACCTCGGGCCTGAAGTCGGTCCTGTCGGCCGGGAAGAGTCCGGGCTCGTGGGCCGAGGGCTCGGACCGGCCCGTGGTCACCTTCAAGGAGAACATCAAACCCAGAGAGCCGGGCCGAGACCCGCCCCGCACCCTGCAGAACCCCAAGGACCGCCGGGACCTCCTGAAGACCGGCGCTGCTGTGGGCGGGAAGGCGGAGCCAAAGAAGGACGGGAAGAGGAAGACCGAGATGAAGAAGAGCGGACTGGACAAGACCCTGGATCCTGGAAAACAGGTGAGGTCCTAGACCCAGACGGCTCCTGCAGAGCTCCTGATCTGGACTGAGCAGAACCTTTTGTGTTCAGGTGAAGGTCCAGACGGAGCTGAGGAAGACTCCGGTCTCTGAGGTGAAGAAGACCCCGGTGACCCAGACCCAGACCACCTGCTCGTCCCAGTTCATCCCCATCCATCACCCCGGAGCCTTCCCCCCGCTGCCCAGCAGACCTGGTACCAATTTCCTGCTGGGTTCTGTTCTCTTCTGGTTCTGGTTCTGGTTCTGGTTCTGGTCTGGCTCATGCTGCCTGGTCTCTGTCTCTCTGCAGGGTTCCCCCCCTCAGCCTACGTGATCCAGTCCCCGGTGGCGTTCCCGGGTCTCCAGGTGAATCCAGGGTTCACCTTCTCCACGGGAGTCTCGGTCCCCGGACCTTTCCTCCAGACCGCGGTCCACTCCCAGACCGGGTCCCAGGTCCAGGCTGGGAAGCAGTCTCACATTCCCTACAGTCAGCAGAGACCCTCTGGACCCGGATCCTCAGGCCCCGGGCCCATGAGCCAGGTCCCGTCCCAGGCCCAGCAGCAGCCGGGTCAGCTGCAGGTCCAGGCCTTGGGTCCACAGCAGTCCCCCACAAAACCGGTCCAGCAGGTGGGGATGGGGAAGAGTCCGCCTCACCATCCGGGTCTGCAGCAGGTCGGTTCTGTACGGCATCAACCTTTGGGTCTGTTCTGGTCCTGGTTCAGTTCTGACTGCTGTTTTCTGGTGCAGTTCCTGCAGGTCCAGGATCAGCCGGCTCAGATGTGGACCCAGGCCCAGGCGGCCCTGCAGAAGCTGTCCCCCCTGCAGATGCCCCTGAAGCAGCAGCAGCAGTTCTACATGGGGGGTCAGGACCCCCTGAAGCTGTACGAGCCCCCGCTGTCCAACATGGACAAGAAGATGAAGGTCCAGGACTTCTACTGGGACTCCTTCATGGTGGGGGACAGTCTGGCCCTGATGTCTGAGAGGATGAAGAGACCCCCTCCAGGTGGGCTCTGTGCAGACCAGGAGGCTCCTGCTGGACCCCGTGGACCCACGTTTGAGGTGAGCTGAGAGGACACCTGTCCCCTGCTGGTCACATCTGGACCTGCAGACAGACCTTCAGGGTCTGAGTCTTTGGTTCCTGCAGGTGGACCGGGTCCATTTAACTCTTCTTCTTTCTGGATTCTCTTCTTCCTCCTGTCCCTCCTGGTCCTCCTCTCCTCCTGTCCTCCTGTCCTCCTCTCCTCCTGTCCTCCTCTCCTCCTGTCCTCCTGTCCTCCTCTCCTCCTGTCCTCCTCTCCTCCTGGTCCTCCTGTCCTTCTGGTCCTCCTGTCCTCCTCTCCTCCTGTCCTCATCTCCTCCTTTCCTCATCTCCTCCTGGTCCTTCTCTCCTCCTGTCCTCCTGGTCCTTCTCTCCTCCTGTCCTCCTGGTCCTTCTCTCCTCCTGTCCTCCTCTCCTCCTGTCCTCCTGGTCCTTCTCTCCTCCTGTCCTCCTCTCCTCCTTTCCCTCCTCTCCTCCTGTCCTCTCCTCCTGTCCTCCTCTCCTCCTGTCCCTCCTGGTCCTCCTGATCCTCCTGTCCTCCTCTCCTCCTGGTCCTCCTGTCCCTCCTATCCTCCTGTCCTGTCCCTCCTGGTCCTCCTGGTCCTCCTGTCCCTCCTATCCTGTCCCTCCTGTCCTCCTGTCCTTCTCTCCTCCTCTCCTCCTGTCCTTCTCTCCTCCTCTCCTCCTGTCCTCCTCTCCTCCTCTCCTCCTGTCCTTCTCTCCCCCTCTCTTCCTGGTCCTCCTCTCCTCCTGTCCTCTCCTCCTGTCCTCTCCTCCTGTCCTCCTGTCCTGTGGTGGTGTCTCCAGGAGAACAAGTCCTCCCCCCTCCTCCCTCCTGATCTCTTCAGGTCTCTGGCAGACTTTGAGGACGAGGAGCAGCTGTTTAAGCCTCCTGACTTCTTCCAGACCTTGACTGGTCCACTTAGTTCTGCTCCTGGACCAGATCTGTTTGTATGTAGCTCTGTCTTCATCCTCCTCATCCTCTTCATCTTCCTCCTCATCCTCCTCCTCATCTTCATCATCTTCATCCCCATCACCTCCTCATTCCTCTGCATGTCTTCACCTGAGCTGCTTCAGATACTCCTGTAGCTTTACACACACATAGACACACAGACACACACAGACACACACACAGAGACACACACAGACACACACACAGAGACACACACAGACACACACACAGAGACAGACAGACAGACAGACAGACAGACAGACAGACAGACAGACAGACAGACAGACAGACAGA